GACCACGCAAATTTATTATCAATTAATGGATATCCAAAGCGAGGCAATAATATTCTTGATGTGGCAGGAACGTCCGAAACAGATTATGTTAAGTATACTACATTAACATATTCCGTAGGATATGCTAAACATCCAGTGTACACACGTTCTGGCAGTTTAGTCATTAGACAGGATCCAACAATTTCTAGTACATCTAGTCACGATTATACCCAACAAGTGGGTATTCCAGAAGAGACAGGACTACATGGCGGAAGTGATGTAGCAGTATATGCCAAAGGTAAATGCTCAATAGAAAATAATTAATCAATGTCTTATTCAAATATTTGTTATAGGTCCAATGGGACATTTGTTTCACTCTATTCACGAACAAAATTATATTGCTCATGCAATAGCATACGCAGCAAAAATTGGTGCTTACCGAAGTGAACAATTACAATTAGTGAACCAATCTAATATACATTTTTCAAACACTTACCTTATTTGCATATTAATTATGTCATTGTTGTATTTTGATTAAGTTACAATATTATTAAGTTTGATAATAATTTTATTGTCTTCTAAAATTCATTGTTTTATTTATTATTTTTATATCGAGGTAAGTATACAATTGTTTTTATTTTTTGAATTTAGGATTTTTACATAAACAAAAATATAATTTCTATGAAAAAAAAAAAGAGTATTTCTATTCAAAATTTCACAGTTGACAAAATTGGGGAACATAAAAGATGAAGTTTTAATCTAAAACACAAATGTGTAGTTACTTATCGCAACTATTAGTAGTAGCTTGAAACCATGGTTTAATCTTTAGATTGCATGTACTTGATCAAGTCCACAACACGGTTGGAGTAACCATATTCATTATCGTACCTTAAAAATAAATTAATAATATATTAATATAAGGTCAGTTTTTGTTGCAATTGAAAATCTTTACCATGAGATAAGTTTAACAAATTGGTCGTTCAATGAAATTCCCGCCTTGGCATCAAAGATTGATGAGTGGGTATCACCAATAAAGTCAGAAGACACAACTTCATCTTCAGTGTAACCCAAAATTCCCTTCAATGGWCCTTCTGCAGCTTCCTTGACTTTATTTTTGATGTCTTGGTAAGAAGCAGGTTTTGCAAGTCTAAAATATAAAATATATATATATTGTTAAATCAATTCTGACTTTTAACATAAAACACATTATGGAATACCTAAATATGATTWTTTTAGAAAACTTTAGAATCACAATATAATTCAGCAGTAAGTAATTACTACAATATACAATATAATGTATATTAAGTGAATAACATAAAAACTATTCATCAGTTTCAATAGTTATATTTAAGCATTAACCCAATACAAATATATAATTTGTATACTCTATTCAAAATTAGAATGGTCCAACACTTTCTCCAATAATCCAACATAAGAAACCAGTACTTTAGAACAACAAACTTACAAAAATTGGAATACTAAGCCTCTAGCACAAGTTCTTCACACACTACTATTCTTATTTTTAAAACAGTATAATTATTAATGTCTAATCATTATTGAACTTTGCTGAATAGCTTAAGAACTGAATAATGAGTATTAGGTACTCATTAATCATTTGCAATACAGTAAGAAATGTTTACCGGAATTACTGTTGTAATTCAATCAAATTAAAAMAACTAATAATTTTGATAACTCACCGTACAGTCAAGTCAACAACAGAAACATTAGCAACTGGTACTCTGAAAGCCATTCCAGTTAATTTTCCATTAAGTTCTGGGATGACTTTACTTACAGCCTTGGCTGCTCCAGTAGATGCAGGAATGATGTTTTGGGCAGCACCTCTGCCATCTCTCCATAACTTAAAAAAAAAAATTGAAATGATACAAATAATTTTAAAAGCTACATTTTTTAAAGACTTACTTTTCCAGATGGCCCATCAACAGTTTTTTGGGTGGCGGTAGTAGCGTGAACAGTAGTCATAAGACCTTCAACAATTCCAAAGTTGTCATGAATAACCTTGGCTAATGGAGCCAAGCAGTTAGTTGTGCATGAAGCATTAGATACAACTTTGAATGATGGATTGTATGCATCCAAGTTAACACCAACAACAAACATTGGTGCATCAGCACTTGGTGCAGAGATGATAACTTTCTTGGCKCCACCTTCCAAGTGAGCAGAGGCTTTTTCAATGGTGGTAAATACACCAGTGGATTCTACTACRTAATCAGCACCAGCCGATCCCCATTGAATAGCCTTAGGGTCCCGTTCAGAGAACACCTTGATCTTGTTTCCTAATGATTTTGAAACATAATGAGTTAGGTATTATAACACATTTATACCAATG